CATATTGGGTAGCCCCTAGCTCATTGTAGCTGTCAGCAGTCTTTTCATGTTCTTCACCCAATACCCTTTGTCTGATATTGAGTGCTCGCTTGTGTGACTCAGCGGCTGAGGTGTAATCTCCAAGTGCATATTGGGTAACCCCCATATTATGGTGGCTATTAGCGGTCATGTCATGTTCTTCACCCAACACCTTTTGTCTGATGTTAAGTGCTCGCTTGAGTGAATCAGCGGCTGAGGTGTAATCTTTAAGTGCGTATTGGGTAACCCCCAGATTATGGTAGCTGTTAGCGGTCGTCTCATGTTCTTCACCCAACACTTTTTGTCTGATGTTAAGTGCTCGCTCCTGAGACTCAGCGGCGGAGGTGTACTCTTTCAGTGCAACTTGGATAGCCCATAGATTACAGTAGCTATTAGCAGTCTCCTCATGTTCTTCACCCAACACCTTCTGTCTGATGTTAAGTGCTCGCTTGTGTGACTCAGTGGCTGAGGTGTAATCGTCAAGTGCATATTGGGTAGCCCCTAGCTTATTGTAGCTGTCAGCAGTCTTTTCATGTTCTTCACCCAATACCCTTTTTCTGATATTGAGTGCTCGCTTGTGTGACTCAGCGGCTGAGGTGTAATCTCCAAGTGCATATTGGGTAACCCCCCGATTATGGTAGCTATCAGCGGTCTCCTCATGTTCTTCACCCAATACCTTTTCTCTGATGTTAAGTGCTCGCTTGAGTGAATCAGCGGCTGAGGTGTAATCTTTAAGTGCATATCGGGTAAACCCCAGATAATGGTAGGTATCAGCGGTGTCCTCATGTTCTTCACCCAACACCTTTTGTCTGATGTTAAGTGCGCGCTTCTCTGACTCAGCGGCTGACGTGTAATCTTCAAGTGCATATTGGGTAGCTCCTAGCGCATTGTAGCTGTCAGCAGTCGTTTCATGTTCTTCAGCCAATACCCTTTGTCTGATATTGAGTGCTCGCTTGTGTGACTCAGCGGCTGAGGTGTAATCTTTAAGTTCATATTGGGTAGCCCCTAGCTCATTGTAGCTGTCAGCAGTCTTTTCATGTTCTTCACCCAATACCCTTTGTCTGATATTCAGCGCTCGCTTGTGTGACTCAGCGGCTGAGGTGTAATCTTTAAGTGCATATTGGATAACCGCCAGATTACGGTAGCTATTAGCGGTCTCCTCATGTTCTTCACCCAACACCTTTTGTCTGATGTTAAGTGCTCGCTTTTCTGACTCAGTGGATGAGGTGTAATCGTCAATTGCATATTGGGTAGCCCGTAGCTCATTGTAGCTGTCAACAGTCTCCTCATGTTCTTCACCCAATACCCTTTGTCTGATATTGAGTGCTCGCTTGTGTGACTCAGCGGCTGAGGTGTGATCTTTAAGTGCATATTGGGTTACCCCCAGATAATGGTAGCTACTAGCAGTCTCCTCATGTTCTTCACCCAATACCTTTTGTCTGATGTTAAGTGCTCGCTTGTGTGACTCAGCGGCTGAGGTGTAATCTTTAAGTGCATATTGGGTAACCCCCAGCAATATGTAGCTGTGAGCA